GCAGCCCAACTATGCTGACACCCTCATCAGCCAGGAGAGCTGTGAGAAAAGTGAACCTCTTTTGATTCAGGAAGATTCAGGGTTTTGTAAAGAGGAAGACTCCTTTACTCAGGTGAGATTATTGTTTTTATTGGTTTTATTTGAATAAGAAATTTAAAAATTCTCTTTGATTAGTGCTTAGTTTTCTCAGTGTTTTGCAGTGAATCATAATTTTGAGAAGATTTTTGACAATAAAGTTATATTAAATCTTGGTTTTCTCAAATTTTACCAAAATAATCTTACATATATCTTAGATTTTATGTATTTATTTACTTATTTATTTTTACTTTTCTACTCTTGGCAAGCTCTTTATGCCTGTGGTTACATACATCTCATTTCTTAGGGGTATTTTTCCCATTATGTGACATTTCCGAGATTTTTGTCTTTAATCCTCACTAGAGGACATGCTTAGAAAGGGGGAAGGAGGGAAAGAAACATGGATTGGTTCCTTCTCTTGTGTGCCCTCACCCTGATGGGAGGGGTGCTGGGGGTACCCATCACCTAGTCCTGTGCCCTGACAAAAGTTGAACCAAGACCTTTCAGTTTACTGGACAATGCTCCAACCAACTGAGCTACACCAGCCAGGGGTCTGAGATTATTTTTCTAACATGAAAAAAAACTGAATTACAGTCTCAAAGATCAATATCTTGGTTACCCCCCTCTGTCTCTTTTACTTAATAGCAAGCATTTTTTAAAATTATGGAGATCTGTGAGAGATATTTTCTCTTTCACTACTTCTGAATCAAACATTATTTATATAAAAGATTGAAGTAATTAGGAAGACATAATCACTGGTGTTTGAAAACCTGAGTAATATCCCTGGAACTGTCTGTTACTCATCTTGGGCTGGTCACAACATCTATAGCTCTTAAACTAAAATAAATTTAAAAAGACTTGTCTTATTTACCTCACAGAAATTATGGGGAAATAAAATATAAAAAGTTGCCTAAAGTTTATCAAACTATAAATCAGTATAGTGAACAAATATTTGTTGACCTCACCATTGTTATAACTACTCAATTGCTAACAAATAAATATATGTGTCTGATGCTGTATGCCTACTACAATGCCTTCTTCAATCTTCTGCTGCCTTTTGACACTATTTAAAAATTAAAATTAAACTTTAAAATATGCTCATTAGTGTCTACTTATAGGATGTATCTCTAAAAATAGAGAAGTGACTAGCGAGTGCAAGAATGAAGACTTACTAGTGTCCAAGTAAGGATTTAAACAATTAGCATACTTAACCCAGATAAAATAAGGCTCTGTCACGTAGAAACTCTATTCAAATATTTAAGGAAAGGAGGGTTGTCATTTGAAAAGAATAACTAGTCTAATATATTGTGGCCCAAAGGTGTCATTGAAACTATGGCTTGATGAATAGGCAAATAAAAAAGCAAAGATTTGAGATGTCAAATTTGTTTTATCAGAAAATGGATTGCTAAGGAGGTAAGAGATTCTATTATTGGTGCTCTTCAAAGGTAAGTTGATGCCCATGGAATTAATAGACTACTAGGATAATATAATTTGTTAAGTTGTTGAACTACATGATAGTCAAGTTCTGTTCCAGTTATGAGCTGGAGTATTCTATGATCTGATATATAATCAATTGGTCACTTGTGCATCTAAAATAAACAATTTCACATGTGAAGTAAACAATTGAGAAGATACTTTGAAAATTAGTGAGAACCTCTTCTGTAACCTGAAATTGTCAGTCTTCATACAGACTGATTTAGTTAATGTCCTTAAATTATCTTCTAAGGGTAATATATGTTTTTTCAAATCAATATTGTGGTCATTACATTTCAGCAGTTATAGAATTATTTATCTCAAGAATTCAAATATATATGACTAGCCAAGAGACTCTAGCTATACACATTGTCTAATCTGATTTGCTTAGACATTTTTTATATAATTCTTTGATGATTTTAATCAGAATTTAATAGTAAATGATAATTTTAGAGAACTTGAATCTTGGGTTTTGGTCAAGGGAATCAAATGTTCTTTCATACAAATATTATTATTTATTTTATACATTCTGAAAGTGTAAATGCTATTTGATTATATCACCAGTTCTGGATGATTTAAAGTACCATATTTTGCCATGTATAATGCACTTTTTTGCCTAAATTTTTTAGGGAAAATAAGGATATGCATTATACATGGGTATGATGATTACATGCCATGGGTATAATAATTCTGTGTATAATGTGCAGAAAACATGACATTGTTTTTTGCACATATAAAAAACATGCACATGTAAAGGTGCACATTACCTACAGCAAAATATGGTACATCCTGAACCATCATGTTATAAGCAATGCTCACAAACTAGTTCCATGGATAATATAGTGGTTTATTTTTTTCTCTGCACACTAACTGGGACAGTAGGCTGGTTTCTTTTATTCTCTTACCTGAGTCAGCTGTGACCATTTTGTTTAAACAAAATATTTCACTGACAGAAAAACTACCAGATTCTACTCTCACAATGGGAAATCACTCATGTGGACTGACTAAGTGTTAAATCCTGGCAACCATGTAATTTGCTAAGTTCTAACTAAATGAAGCTCTTTGACCTATGTACATTACAGGTTATATGAATAAGATAGGCAGTCTGAGATTTTGAGCATATACTAAATTTTGAAGCATCAGGGAAAAATATACCAAATAATTGGGCTATTTTATCATCTGTGAAAAGCACCAGTTTCTGATCAAACTTCTGTTGAATTGCCAATTATTAGAGAGGAAGGAGTAAAATCTCAGAGGCAATCATTGGAAAATACATATATCTGCCTGAGAATGACAACTTAAACATAAGTCAAAACAAGTGGTTCTTCAATTTTAAAAAAGTTCTATAAAGAAAGGGGAGAAGATAACTTAATGCCTGGGAAGTCAAATAAATCTTCCATGTAATTTTTTAATGCAAGGAAACAAATGAAGGTCAAAATTCTGCCCCAAAACTTCAATAATAACATACTCCCTTTAAAACTATAAAATTCTAAAAGTAAAACTATAAAATATTTTAACTAGATAGTAGGCTTATATGTAAGCATATTGTGGTGCTCTAGTAGAGATACTTAATATTTAATTTTAGGTTGTAAAATAACTTAGAAAACTTGATACTAGAGATAGTGCAGCCATTTACTCCCTGAAATATGCTTTATGTTCAGAGTACATCTATAATCTCATTTGTCTATATATTATTTATTTATTTAACTCCAAGAAAGGTGCCCAAAGTAATGTTAATTGAGACTTTTAAGAAATAATAGAACAAGAGACAAATATATGATGACACTATGAGTTTTGAAGTATCAGATAGAAAGAGATCATGGCATTGGGAGCCATAGTATCCAGACATGAAAGTTTTGTTTGCAAATGTCTGCAAGTACTCGTGATCTTTGATGACCATATATTTTGCTTACATGAGCAAGAATTTCAAAATTGCTACTAAACAAACAATGTATAACTCTTGTTTATGGAATTAATCTGTAATACTCATATTGGTCCCCTTAATCAAAAAGTTCTTTCATCTACTTGATGAAAACAAACATGACTATTAGTTATTTTAACAGAATGAAACAGCATTTCATTCAAAGTATTCCCTATATTTTGGAGCAATGCCATCAGAGAACACCAACTAGGCTAATCATTTTCAATGTTACCTCTGGTCCCTTCTTCTGGCGCTGCTGGCTGCTCTCCTGGGGCAAACACAATTTACAAACCAGGGCTGTCTTGCTACATCTTCATTCCAAAACACCTTTTTCTTCCTGCAACTATGTGGAAGGAAGATTTATTTAATTCCTGCCAGATAAAAGTAGCCTCAGGTCAATCAACAATTGAGTTTCACTTAATTAACATCAGTGTAGAAATGAGTACTTTTAAGGATCCTCTCAGGGCAGTCCTGCTTGTATGCTCAAAGGCTGTCTGTCTAGAGACACATTTTTCTTCAATTATTCTAGAATAGGGTAGGATGATTATTTGAATTGCATAATGAAAAAAAAGCAGTCAAACCCACTGTCTTATGAATCAACAACCAGTAGAAGCTCTGCTTATTTTGGCCTTTTGCACAAAATGTGTTGCTTCTATAGCTGATTGTTGCCACTTGGATTCTCATCTCTAACAGTACTTTTTGAGCATAAAACAGCAACTAAGGCCAACAGTGATTCCTCTTTTTTCTCAAAAGACTGGGAGTGAAGATACCCATATTCTAACATTGGTTCTACTATTACATAGTCCAGGACAAGGCAATTCCCTCTCATTTTTAAAAATCATAAAAATGAATGTGTTGGACTAAACCATCTCCAAAGTTCCATCCAATCTAAACTTTCTTGAATTATCTCTTCACATTTTAAAGAAAGTTTTTGACTCTCTGAGTTTTATGTGGTGGTGTCTACAGCACAGTGATATTCAATAGCATTGAATTAATTTATTTTACTTCGATGTAAACATTTTCTATGTAACATTTATCTTACATATACACACACCATTTAATAAATCATGCTTTTTAAACCCATAATGGCTGCGTGTAATGAAATGTGAAGCAGTGCCCAAGAGTCATTTCAAAGTTGCAATGCAAGCCAAAGAATTTTGAAAAAACAAAAGGATTAATAAACACAAGTGAACATTGTTACATCAATTCACAGTTTCTTAAAATTGATTTTTAAATGATGGAGCAGATATATGGGTTAAAGAAATATAAACGGAAGAATTTTGAAGAATGAAACAACTTTTCTGAAAAATCAGTTACTGGTATTTTGCTTCAATATGGTGCAGTAACATAGTAAGGACTCTGAGCGCCGCTGTTCACCAACCGGGAGAAAAAGATACGCCGCCGGAACTACCGAGTTTTACAACACAAAGAAACACCAGGCTGAGAAAAACTCTTCCAAGAGGCACCAAACGCAGACCTCTATTCTACTGGATTTGGGGTTCCTTTTCCGAATACAGAGGCTCCACATCGACACACCAGCACCCAGAAACACAGCAGGAGGTAGTCCAGCGTCTAATGATCTGCAGGACAGCAATGGCAGCTCCAAAGAGGGGCGGGGATTATAGAGGATTCATCCTGCTCTCCATCCTCCTGGGGACCCAGAGCAAAGCGTGGGCAGGACACATTCTCTATTCTGTGCTGGAGGAGACAGACACAGGGTCTTTTGTGGGTAATATCGCCAAGAGTCTGGGGCTGGAGGCCCAGGAGCTGGCGGAACGCGGAGTCCGAATCGTCTCCAGAGGTAGGACGCAGCTTTTCTCTCTGAATAAGCGGAGCGGCAGCTTGGTCACCGCGGGCAGGATAGACCGGGAGGAGCTCTGCGCTCAGAGTGCGCGGTGTCTGGTGAGCTTTAATATCCTGATGGAAGATAAAATGAATCTTTACCCTATAGAAGTGGAAATAATGGATATTAATGACAATGCTCCTAGGTTCTTGACTGAAGAAATGAATGTTAAAATAATGGAGAATACAGCTCCTGGGGTGCGGTTTCCGTTAAAAGAGGCTAGGGATCCGGATGTGGGTACAAACTCCCTCCAGAGCTATCAGCTCAACCCCAATCGCCACTTCTCCCTGGCTGTGCAAACTGGAGATGACGGAACTAAGTATCCGGAATTAGTGCTGGAGCAAGTGCTGGACCGGGAGGAAGAGGCAGTTCACCACCTTCTCCTCACAGCCTCTGACGGTGGTGACCCACCCTTATCTGGCACAGCCCGCATCCAAGTAGTGGTGGTGGATGTGAATGACCATGCACCAGTCTTCTCTTTGCCCCTGTACCAAGTAACTGTCCCAGAGAACGTGCCAGTGGGCACAAGACTGCTCACAGTAAGTGCTGTTGACCTAGATGAGGGAATCAATGGGGAAGTGACTTACTCTTTTTGGAAAATTATTCCAAAAATTCTACAGATATTCCAGCTGAACTCCCATACAGGAGAATTATCAACTTTAGAAGGCCTAGATTATGAAGAATCCAGCTACTATGAAATGGAAGTTCAGGCTCAGGATGGTCCTGGTAGTATGACAAGGGCTAAAGTACTGATCACCATTTTAGATATGAATGACAATGCCCCAGAAGTGACTATAACATCTGTAAGCAGCTCAATCCCTGAAAACACGCCTCCTGGAACAGTAATTGCTCTTTTCTACCTTCAAGACCGAGACTCTGGGAAGAATGGTGAGGTGACCTGCACTATTTCAGAAAATCTGCCTTTTAAGTTAGAAAGATCAATAGACAACTATTATAGATTGGTGACAGAAAAAAACCTAGACCGAGAAATACTCTCTGAATACAACATCACATTGAAAACCACAGACAGTGGAACCCCACCCTTGTCCACAGAAACTCACATCTCACTAAGGGTGGCAGACACCAATGACAACCCACCTTCCTTTCCCCACTCCTCCTACTCTGTCTATGTCCCTGAGAACAACCCCAGAGGGGCCTCCATATTCTCTGTGAATGCTCACGACCCTGACAGCAATGAGAATGCCCACGTCACCTACTCCCTGGAGGAAGACACTATCCACGGTGCACCTCTGTCCTCCTATGTCTCCATCAACTCTGACACTGGTGTCCTGTATGCATTGCACTCCTTCGACTATGAGCACTTCCATGACTTGCAGTTGAGAGTGACTGCACATGACAGTGGGGGACCCACCACTCAGCAGCAACGTGTCACTGAGTCTGTTCGTGCTGGACCAGAATGACAATGCTCCAGAGATCCTGTACCCTGCCATCCCCACAGATGGTTCCACGGGCGTGGAGCTGGCTCCTCGCTCTGCAGAACCTGGTTACCTGGTGACCAAAGTGGTGGCAGTAGACCGAGACTCAGGCCAGAATGCCTGGCTGTCCTACCGCCTGCTCAAGGCCAGTGAGCCAGGGCTCTTTGTGGTGGGGCTGCACACGGGTGAGGTGCGCACTGCACGTGCCCTGCTGGACAGAGATGCACTCAAGCAGAGCCTGGTGGTGGCTGTTCAGGACCATGGCCAGCCCCCTCTCTCGGCCACTGTCACGCTCACGGTGGCCGTGGCTGACAGCATCCCAGACGTTCTGGAAGAGCTGGGCAGCCTGGAGGTCCCACACAACTCTGATACTTCAGGCCTCACGCTGTACCTGGTGGTGGTGGTGGCCGCTGTCTCTTGCATCTTTCTTGCCTTTGTCATGGTGCTGCTGGCACTCAGACTGCGGCGCTGGTCCGCCTCGCGCCTGCTCCAGGCTTCTGAAGGCGGGTTAATGGGCGTGCCTGCCTCTCACTTTGTGGGTGTGGACGGGGTGCAGGCTTTCCTGCAGACCTATTCCCACGAGGTCTCCCTCACTGCGGACTCCCGGAAGAGTCACCTGATCTTCCCGCAGCCCAACTATGCTGACACCCTCATCAGTCAAGAGAGCTGTGAGAAAATAGATCCCATGTCAACACCCATAGATTTTCATGAATGTAATCATGAAGCCCAAAGCATTCAGGTGAGTTCAGTCATTCATTTAACTTGATATCCTCGAAAAATGATATTTTGTGTAAATGTCTCCATTGTTTGTGAAGCCAGTGTTTTGAAGATAGCATGGAAAAAAACTTTAAAAAACAAAAGCATGTTAAATGGTTTATTTCAGTAGTGATACTTTAACATGGAACACTTATAAATATAGGATTTGGTGTCATTTCCATAGTGAATGCCTATGGACAAGATTGTGAATAAGTGGACTACTACATTTTTATACCTTCCACCTATTTTCCTCTTAATGTTCTTAATTCATGTAGTTTATAAATGAGAATGAATTATGTCTTTCTCATTGTACCAAGTTAGCAAAAGACTTCTCAGAATTCTCTGTAGATCAGATCTATAAAAGGCTGTTGCTAGTTGTCAGAAGTTTTTTTCTGTCTGGATTCTGCCTCCATGTTCCTCAACTTGATGACCTTGAAATATCTCACTTCATTTCTAACCTATTTAAAGCATAATTGTCTATTAAAGTTGGGTGCTGGTGGAAGATCGGTAAATGTCTGACAAAAAAATGTGTGTCAAGCTTCACTAAGATCTATATCAATGACCAATATGGAGTCTAATGCAACACTGCAGGCCATTGTTCAAAACCAATAAAATATGACAGGAAATGAAATGTCTTTACAACTATTATAAGTGGCATTTGTGAAATAGGCAGTTACATGTTTTACCACAAAATGTCTATGTCTGGTTTTAGCGGTGCAGCCATGTGAGGTGTGGCTCTCCAAGTAGGATAGTGGGGTTCCTGGCTTTATGAAGCAAATATCTCACATGCTCAAGTCCTAGGCCAGTAGTTGGAATTTACTCATTTGGTGTGCTGAGAAATTCAATCCCAGTCAGGGACTAACCTAATCTGGAACTAATGACTACTTCCATATTCTAAGTATAATATTTCAGTATAGCTCATCATACCAGTTGGTTAGCATCTTGTTTGCTGGGACCTTTTGAGTGTTAATTCCAACATTTTTTCTAGTATAGTGTTGTGTTTTCTGGTATTTTACATGTAAATAAAATATGCAATTATGTGAGTATACTTCATGTGTTCTACTATATTCAGATATACCATCACTAGGGGAGCAGACAATGTTACTGACACTTTGTGAGGCAGAAATGTAGTTATTGAGTACTTTTAAAGTATATTTTGTTGATTATGCTACTACAGTTGTTCCAACTTTTTTGAAAAAGAGTATTTCCCTATCCAACTTATTAGACGCTTCAAAAACATTTTTAAACAATCAGAAGAGTCACTAAATTCAGTGAGCTACTGGAAATAAACTTCCTAGGAACTATTTTCTTCATTTCAAGTCATCAGAGGAGGTTATATAAGTACAGGAATGGGAACCATGCCTCAGTGCATAGGCCACAGTGACTTTGTGTTGCAAGGCGAAATATTCTCCTGGTAACTTTGAGGATTGATGTTACATTTGGTAACTAGGAAAATATCGTACAATGGGAAGGAAAAGAAAAGGCTAACTCTTTCCTGGTTATATTATTTCTTTGAGTGAGGAAGAAGAAAGGTATTGGATGGTAATATCCATTGTGCCCTTTTTAAGACAGTGTCAGCATTACTGATACTCTCTGAAAAAATTGAAATGAATCATTATTGAGGTACCCAAAAAGTAAAGGAAAACAAAGAAAGAAGCACAAAACTTTAGTCAGTGTGTTTCTAATTAATAAGAATTCAAAATTACTGTACCATAAGATCGTTCAGACGAAGTCTATGTTACAGTCATCTTTCTATTACTAGTGCGGAATAATTATGTTGACAATTTATGTGCCGAATATATGTGATTTCCCTAAAACCTGGGATAATGAAGTTTCTGGTGGTGCAAATTAAGTATTATTAAATACATAGACATAAAAAATGTTCCAGTCAAGCACAGGATTGTATTCGAAATGCCTGTAGCTGGTTAGACTGAAGAGGCAGAGGCTGCAGTTTCCTACCGCGGGCTCCGGGCGCCGCTGTTGGCCCGAGTGCAGAGCTTGGAGGGCGACCGCCTCGCGCAGCCGCAGCTCACTTTCCTCATCTCAGACTCGCTAGAGCCTGCCTTTCCACCGCTTCCTCCTCTGGAAAAGAAGAACCCTGACCCCCACGCAGGAGGTAAAGCCTGTTCGGAGCTCCGGACATCTGCAACCCGGAGATTACTGGTCATCGGCGTCTTCGGGCCGGTGAGCAAGCCGAGGGGAGCTAGAGGGATGGGGAGCGGCGCTGGGCTCAGGGGCTGGGCTGAGCGGCGGCCGGTGCTCTTTCCCTGGCTGCTGCTGTCTTTGTTGTGCCCGGTGCTGTCGGAGCCGATCCGCTACACGATTCCCGAGGAAATGCCCGAGGGCTCGGTGGTGGGGAACCTCGCCAAGGACCTGGGACTCAGTGTCCGCGAGTTACCGACTCGAAAACTGCGCGTCGGTTCTGAGAAGCCTTACTTCACTGTGAGCGCAGAGCGCGGGGAGTTACTTGTGAGCAGCAGGCTGGACCGGGAGCAGATGTGCGGGAAGAAGCCAGTTTGTGCTTTGGAATTTGAGGCGGTTGCTGAAAATCCGTTGAACTTTTACCACGTGAGCGTGGAGATCGAAGATATTAATGACCACACCCCCAAATTCTTGCAAAGTTCCTTTGAGTTGCAAATTAGTGAGTCCACAAAGCCTGAGGCACGATTTATCTTAGGATCTGCCCAAGATGCAGATATTGGTACCAACTCACTACAGAATTACCAGCTAAGTCCCAATGATCATTTCTTACTCGTGAATAAGGAAAAATTAGATGGTAGTAAATACCCTGAGCTAGTACTGAAGATGCCTTTAGACCGGGAGGAGCAGAAGTCCTACCACTTGACCTTGACTGCCCTGGACTGCGGGGATCCACCCCTAAGCAGCACTGCACAGATACAAGTCCTAGTGACTGATGCCAATGATAACCCTCCAGTGTTCAGCCAAGAGCTCTACAGGGTGAGCCTACTGGAAAACGTGTTCCCAGGCACCACTGTGATTCGAGTGATGGCCACTGACCAGGACGAGGGTGTCAATGCTGAGATCACCTTCTCTTTCACTGAAGCAGGCCAGATCACTCAGTTTGACCTGAATTCTACTACTGGGGAAATTATTACTCGACATATGTTAGATTTTGAGGAAGTCAAAGAGTATTCCATAGTTTTGGAAGCTAGGGATGGTGGTGGAATGATTGCCCAATGTACTGTGGAGATAGAAGTCCTAGACGTAAATGATAATATCCCAGAAGTGTTATTCCAGTCTCTACCAGATCTTATCATGGAGGACACCAGGCTCGGAACATATATTGCTTTACTTAAAATCCATGACAAGGATTCTGGAGATAACGGAGAAGTAACTTGTAAATTAGAAAGTGATGTTCCGTTTAAATTGCTAACTTCTTCAAGAAACACGTATAAATTAGTGACAGATGAAGTTCTAGACCGGGAGCAGATCCCTGAATACAATGTTACCATCACAGCCACCGACAAAGGCAAGCCACCCCTCTCCTCCAGGACCACCATCACAGTACACATTGGAGATGTCAATGACAACGCCCCGGTTTTCCAACAGTCCGCCTACCTGGTTCACGTGCCAGAAAACAACCCTCCAGGGGCCTCCATAGCACAGGTCAGCGCCTCCGACCCCGACCTGGGACCCAACAGCCAGGTCTCCTACTCCATCGTGGCCAGCGACCTGGAGACACAGGCGCTGTCGTCCTACGTGTCCGTGAACCCACAGAGCGGCGTGGTGTTCGCGCAGCGCGCCTTCGACCACGAGCAGCTGCGCACCTTTCAGTTGACCCTGCAGGCTCGCGACCAGGGCTCGCCCGCGCTCAGCGCCAATGTCAGCCTGCGCGTGTTGGTGACCGACCGCAACGACAACCCGCCAAGAGTGCTTTACCCGGCGCTGGGGCCCGACGGCTCTGCGCTCTTCGACACAGTGCCGCGCGCCGCTCAGCCCGGCTACCTGGTCACCAAGGTGGTGGCGGTGGACGCGGACTCGGGACACAATGCCTGGCTATCCTACCACGTGCTGCAGGCCAGCGAGCCTGGACTGTTCAGCCTGGGGCTGCGCACGGGGGAGGTGCGCACAGCGCGGGCTTTGGGTGAAAGGGACGCGGTGCGTCAGCGCCTGCTGGTCGCTGTGCGAGACGGGGGACAGCCGCCTCTCTCGGCCACTGCCACGCTGCTCCTGGTCTTCGCCGACAGTCCTCAAGAGGTACTGCCAGACCTCAGTGATCGCCTCACACCCTCTGACCCCCAGGCTGAGCTACAGTTTTATCTGGTGGTGGCCTTGGCCTTGATCTCGGTGCTCTTCCTCTTGGCGGTGATTCTGGCGGTTGCCCTGCGCCTTCGACGCTCCTCCAGCCCCACCACCTGGAGTTGCTTTCAGCCGAGTCTCTGTACTAAGACTGGACCTGTGGTTCCTCCCAACTACAGCCAGGGAACATTGCCCTATTCCTACAATCTGTGCGTTGCCCAAGCTGGAAAGACAGAGTTTAATTTTCTAAAATGTAAGGAACAGTTGAGTTCAGAACAAGATATACTTTGTGGTGATTCATCTGGGGCCTTATTTCCACTTTGTAATTCCAATGAGTCGACTTCCCATCAGGTGAGTTTCCTTTAAGCATAACCTGCTTCTTATGGTCTACCCAGTTCTCCATACTCACAGGGAAACATACAATTTTCAAATCTAAAAGTTGTCTTAAGAAAGCTGTAGCAAGTCAAAAAGCTGTCATATCATTGTTCAAGGGATATTGAAATCAGAGCAATAATGTGTCTTTCAGGGATGTCTTATCAGGCTCAGAAAGGAAGAAGCAAGCGTGTGATTTTGTCTACAAAGGAAAATATTAGGCAATGGGATAGGCTCTCTCATAAAAGCTTATGAGATTTTTCCCTAAATTTTCCTTCCTATCACTTAGTAGGTGGTTTTTTTTAAGCTTGGACATATTGTAAACGTAAAAGTAGGCAGTCATTTAAATAAGTCTTTAGAGCAAAAGTAAGCTAAAATTCTACATTTTCTTAACTGATTTAACTTGTGGTTTCCATACTAATCTGATGTTTTCTCTCATATTTACCTCCCTTTTATTTCTAAAGCATCTAGAACACTATATCTTACCCTGGATTTTTATGTAGATGAGCCCATTGTAACTCTATGCAATGTATTGTGTGTGTAAAATCCTTTGGTTTAGAAGTTATGTCCATTGTGTTCACCAGAAGACAAAAAGCATGTTCTCCCTACTTGCAGCATAGGTTTTTTTTTTAGCTTAATTTGTATTGAAGTTCATTCTGTAGACTCTTTCATCAAACAAAAAAGTGTTTTGAACTGTGTTTTTTTTCTTTTGCAACCTTAAACTAATATAGCTAGATGTCTTCTAGTTATTATATTATCTCTAGGAGAAAAAGATTTGAATTCCTCAAATTCTACACAAAATGGCTAATCTGATGTGTAAACAAGTATATACACATGATAATACATCTTTTCAGCCTTTTGCTAGATTTCCCTTAGCTTCCCCTTTACATACTTCTGAAGACACGTTTGTTTGTATCAGCACTTTTTAAATTTACTTTATTTTATTGTTGTTCAAGTACAGTTTTCTGCCTTTTCCCAGCTCCTTCCCTCCACCCCAGCCATCCCCACCTCCCTCCCCTGATTCCACACCACCCCTTGGTTTTGTCCATGTGTCCTTTATAGTTGTTCCTATGTTTGGCACTTTCTGACTCCTTGGTGATAATTATGTGGTCCTCATTTTTTTCTGGTCCTTTTGATCAAAGTACTCATAAAGGTACAAGTAACTTTAGACATATGTCTCCCTTAAGAATTTAATTAAGTCTCTCACTGGTGGAAGAATGGATTGGAGACTTCATTTTAAATACCTTTCAAGTGTCTTGAAATAGAAAAAGTATAAATAATAAAACAGGAAAACCATACAATCTCTGATAAAACTAGAAAGTACAATAACTTAACCTGTTGAGATTTTATAATATTAATTTGAAATATTACCAATGTGACATTTTAAATGAAAATTAAAAAGCAAAAAAACTATAGATATCTTACTATAATGATTAATTAGTTCAAACCAAATAAAACAACTTCTGAATCAATCATCTTTAATTCATCTATTTTAGTCTAAGAGTGAATTACCTGCCAGTGAAGACTGGAGTTTTTACTTATATGAAGACATTTACAATAAAGCTTAGAGCATAATAAATAAAATTTGATAATATGTTTTTAAAAGAGTAAATGTCTTCCAGAAATGTGAGTAATTTAATGTAATGCTAACCCATATATCTAATCATTTTATAATACTTTGTAAAACTTTAACTCTACTTCATCCATCCCATACTTCTTGGCACTTACTTTTAAAGTATGAACTCAGGGGCAAATCACATAAATACAAAGCAAACTGTAAAAAAGCGAGTCGTATTTTTTTCTCTGTAATCTAGCAAAAAGTATTACAAATTTAAGTCGGTGCAGTAACTGTTTAGGGCTCTAAGCGCCGCTGTTCACCTAGCTTGGAGATAAATGTAACCAAATGCCATCCGGATATTGAGGGTTCCCACCTCACAAAACCCTGCAGATCCCACAAATCACCTGCAGGGCTGCAGCGAGCTCCAAACTCCATCCTAATTTGGGACATTCCAGCCTTCCATTGGGTGGTCTCCATAGCTGCAGCATAAAGATAAACAAGACACATCTGCTCAATGAAGATTCTGAGTGGATTCCATAATGAAAGAGCAATGGCCGCTCCAAACAATTACGGAGGACGCGGTGAGCTGGTCTTGCTGTGCGCGCTCCTGGGCACGCTGTGGGAGATGGGGAGGGGACAGCTTCACTATTCTGTGCCAGAAGAGAGCGACAAAGGATCCTTTGTGGGAAACATCTCCAAGGACCTGGGGCTGGAGTCACAAGAACTGGCAAAGCACGGAGTCCGCATCGTCTCCAGAGGTAGGACGCAGCTTTTTGCTCTGAACCAGCGAGGTGGCAGCTTGGTCACCGCGGGCAGGATAGACCGGGAGGAGCTCTGTGCTCAGAGCACTCGGTGTCTTGTAAATATCAACATCCTGGTTGAGGATAGAGGAAAACTTTTTGGGATAGAAATAGAAATCACTGATATCAATGATAATAACCCTAAATTCCAGGCCGAAAATCTAGAAATAAAAATTAACGAAATCGCTGTGCCTGGCACACACTATCCACTCCCAGAGGCTGTTGACCCAGATGTGGGCTTGAATTCCCTGCAGAGCTACCAGCTCAGCCCCAATCACCACTTCTCCCTGGACGTGCAAACTGGGGAGGATGGGACTATAAACCCTGAGTTGGTGCTAGAGCATGCCCTGGACCGTGAGAAAGAGGCTGTTCACAACTTGGTGCTCATCGCCTCAGATGGAGGGGAACCTCGTCGCTCCAGCACAGCGCACATCAAAGTGATAGTGTTGGATGTGAATGACAATGCCCCAGTGTTTGCTCAACCGATTTACAGAGTGACAGTCCCAGAGAACGTGCCCCCTGGCACCCTACTGCTTACTGTAAGAGCTAGTGACCTGGATGAGGGAGCCAATGGAGAAGTGGCATATAAATTCTGGAAAATTAGTGAAAAACAATCTCCATTATTCCAGCTTAATGAAAACACTGGAGAAATATCAACAGCAAAGAGTCTAGATTATGAAGAATGCGTGTTTTATGAAATGGAAATACATGCTGAAGATGTGGGGGCTCTTATGGGGAAGACCAAGGTGCTCATTTCAGTGGAAGATATAAATGACAATAGACCTGAAGTGACTGTTACATCTTTATTTAGCCCAGTCTTGGAAAATACTCTTCCTGGAACAGTAATTGCCTTCTTAAATGTGCATGACCGAGACTCTGGGAAGAATGGGCAAGTTGTCTGTTACATACATGACAATTTGCCTTTTCAATTAGAAAAGTCAATAGATAACTATTATAAATTAGTGACATGGAAATATTTGGACCGAGAAAAGATCTCCATGTACAATATCACAGTGATGGCCTCAGACTTAGGAACCCCACCTTTATCTACTGAAACTCATATCATTCTGCAAGTGGCAGACACCAATGACAATCCACCCACTTTCTCTCATGCCTCCTACTCAGCCTATATCCCGGAGAACAACCCTAGAGGAGCTTCCATCTTCTCTGTGACTGCCCACGATCCTGACAGTGGCCACTATGCCCAGATCACTTATGCCCTGATGGAGGACACTACCATGGGGGCACCTCTCTCCTCTTACATCTCCATCAACTCTGACACTGGTGTGCTGTATGCACTGTGTTCCTTCGACTATGAGCAGATCAGAGACTTACAGCTACTGGTGATTGCCAGGGACCATGGAGACCCTCCACTCAGTGCCAATGTGTCACTGAGTCTGTTCATTCTGGACCAGAATGACAACATGCCTGAAATTCTGTATCCCTCGATCCCCACCGATGGTTCCACGGGTGTGGAGCTGGCACCCCGCTCTGCAGAACCTGGCTACCTGGTGACCAAGGTGGTGGCTGTGGACAGAGACTCAGGCCAGAATGCCTGGCTGTCCTATCGCCTGCTCAAAGCCAGCGAGCCAGGGCTCTTTGTGGTGGGGCTGCACACAGGTGAGGTGCGCACTGCAAGGGCCCTGCTGGACAGAGATGCGCTCAAGCAGAGCCTGGTGATAGCAGTCCAGGACCATGGCCAGCCTCCTCTCTCAGCCACTGTCACACTCACTGTAGCCGTGGCAGACAGCATCCCAGATGTCTTAGCTGACCTGGGCAACATCAAGAACCCCACCAACTCTGATGATTCAGACCTCACGTTGTACCTGGTAGTGGCTGTGGCCATTGTCTCCTGTGTCTTCCTTGCATTTGTGGTTGTGCTGCTGGTGCTCAGACTATGGAGATGGCACAAGTCTAGTCTCCTTCAGCCTTCAGGCAGAGGGTTAGTGGGCCTGCCAGCCTCAAGTTTTGTGGGTGTGGAAGGAGTACAGACGTTCCTGCAGACCTATTCACATGAGGTCTCTCTCACTGCAGACTCAGGGAAGAGTCATCTGATATTCCCACAGCCCAATTATGCCGACACACTCATAAGCCAAGAGAGCTGTGAGAAAAATAATTCTTTATTAACATCCATAGATTTTCATGAAGGTAAGGATGAGGCTGCCTCTGTACAGGTGAGTTCAGTTTTTCTTTACATTTATTTCTGATGAATTTTAAAAAATAAATTTATGTGTTTTGAAACATATTGTGAAGAAAGTTTAAAATATTTTAAGTTATACCACAAAATTTTAGGGGTTATTTTAGTAGTGGTATTATAAAATTGAGCTCTAATTGTCATAGTTTGCTTAATTTGCTTCCCAAAAGATTGGACACAACTGTTTAAATGTGAACTCCCAACCTTTTAAAGGCTTCTGTATTTTACTGTAATTATGACTTATCATTCCTTCACTTAAGAAGGAGTTGCCCAACCACAGAAGGTAAGTTTGTTTTATATATAGGAATATGTATGTTCCTAAATTAGAGCTGAGGGGAAATTTTTGAGATTCCTAAATCCTTGGATAAGTTTAATAGAAATAAAATACATCAGAATTTTTAGCATTGTGTTCAAGGTTTGAACCTAAAACTAAGCTCTGAAA